GTCACGCTGTTGTCCACCAGCACTCCCAGTCCCTCTCCGCAGAGCTGCTCTCCAGCAGCTCAGCCCCAGCCTGTGCTGGTGCATGGGGTTGTTCCTCCCCAGGTGCAGGACCCTGCCCTTGCCCTTGTTGAACCTCATCAGGTTCCTCTTTGCCCAGCTTTCCAGCCTGTCCAGGTCACGCTGAATGGCAGAATTGCTTCCCCGGTCAGGGATGGGTTTGAGCAGTTCAGTTGGAAGGGACCTGCAATGATCAGCTAGTCCAACTGCCTGACCGCTTTGGTGCTGACCAAGGGTTACAGCGTGTTATTAAGAGCATTGTCCAGATGCCTCTTAAGCCCTGCCAGGCTTGGGGCATTGATCACCTCCCTAGGAAGCCAGTTCCAGTGTGAGACCACCCTCTCAGTAAAGAAATGCTTCCGCTAGTCCAACTGCCTGACCGCTTTGGTGCTGACCAAGGGTTACAGCGTGTTATTAAGAGCATTGTCCAGATGCCTCTTAAGCCCTGCCAGGCTTGGGGCATTGATCACCTCCCTAGGAAGCCAGTTCCAGTGTGAGACCACCCTCTCAGTAAAGAAATGCTTCCTGATACCGAGTCTGAACCTCCCGTGACGCAGCTTTGAGCCATTCCCACGTGTCCTGTTGCTGGATCCAAGGGAGAAGGGGTCAGCTCCTCCCTCTCCACGTGCCCTTCCTTGGGAAGCTGCAGAGAGCAATGAGGTCGCCCCTGGCTGCTGGTCACCAGGTCAGTCCATTCATAGAATCGTTAAGGGTGGGAAAGACCTCTAAGATCATCAAGTCCAACCATCCACCCAACACCACCATGCCTGCTAAACCACGTCTCCAAGTGCCATATCTGCACGTTTTTTGAACCTCTTCAGGGATGGGGACTCCCCCACTGCCCTGGGAAGCCTGGTCCAAGCCCTGACCACTCTCTCAGCAAAGAAATTTCCCCCAATATCCAATCTGAACCTCCCCTGATGCAACTTGAGGCCATTCAGGTGGTCACGTTGTGTAATTTAATAAACTCTTCCACTGCCCTCATTAAACAGCTTGGACTACCAGCAGTAAAGCTTCCACCTCCTGTTCCCCTCCCCGAGCTCCCTGCCCAGGCCCAGTGCATTTTTTTTCCCCCCTGCTTGCAGAGCATCGGCTGTTCCTGTCGCTGTGGGGAGCAGCAGCGGCTCC